GGAGGGGCAGTAGGGAGGGAAAGGGGAATTGCAGTCATGGGGTGGAGAGATGGCCAGGACTTGACCCAGAGTCACAGAAGTGGAGATGAGACAGGAGAACAGAGTCAGAATGCATGCTACCCCTTGGCTGAGGTAGAAACTCAGTCCCTATATCACCTTCCTGGCACCAATAAACAACCAGATCCAGACAACATAATTATTATTTTAAAATATCAGTTCTTTTTTTTTAGTTGCTATGATTCACCATTGTGTGGATTATGAGAACTCAGACACATCTCTGGGGATCACTGGACTAGGAGACCACAAAGATGGAGACCATTGGCATCATGCACAACCTCTTTGCTGAATTGGGAGAAAGGGGTTTTTGTTTGGAATGCAACGTGCACGGCTGTGTTTGTTACCCTGCAAACAATGTCCCTCCAACTAGCTGCAAATGCTGAATATGTTAGAAAGAGCGGAAGGGGGAGGAAGAGTGACTCTCATAAGCTCCTGATTGTTCTACACACCCGTGGGCAGACGAAGTATGGCTGGAATTAGGGGGCAAGGGAGAGAGGGGTGTGAACCAAAAATATTACTTTGAGAGTCTACATTCAACAACTTGCAACTGTGAAAATGCTGTTTTGCTCCTAGGACATAGTTGAAGGCCAAGACAAGGGACAGGAAGTCACACCCGTGAGTTGCTCTCTCCCCCGGGACCCTGAAGAATTGGAGATTGCCAAGGAGGACCCCCAGACAACAGCTATCACTGAGGATAATAATCCCATCATGAGCTTCTTTAAAACTCTGGTAAGTCATTTCCTTTCCCCCTCAATTCTATTGCTCAAAAGTTTTGTTATTCTAAGAATAATGCACATTTGAGTGTCATTGTTTTGACTGATGCAGCTGGGACACTGGAGAACAGCGACAAGATGTGTTTTGCAAGGAAATTGTTATAGCAGGCCTTCAATGAGGGAGACTTCGGAAATGGGAGCCATGGGTGCCCAAATTCCATAACGTTGAGCTGGATTGTAATGGAACTCTATTGCAACTGGATGGTCATTGATCATGAAAATAACTGGAGAATACTTCCTCAAGTTCTTAACCCGTCAAAGCATTTTGACACTCACATGGCAAATATGATAGAAACCACTTTCTATCTTGTTCCAGCTCAGTCTACCATTTGAATTGGATGGAGGCAGGAACCCATGTCTCCCATGGCTTACTCATCTCTGACCCTGAGGGGAAGAGCCCATGGCCTGGCACATGACAGATACTCAGAAAGGGGCTGGTAAATGAAGTCATTAAGCAGACAGCTCCAAGTGTGTCTGGGCTACTTCCAAAGGCCAAGACTGACTTCAGAGGAAAAACCCAAAAAACACCAAAGGGTTGTGCATTTGTTGGATTAGTGGCAGAATCAATGGAAAGTCTGTGGCATTCCACCAGTCAATTTTTTAATGTGGTCAAACTCTTGGTAAATGTATGAGATCTGATGCATTTCATTATAAAACATTCTCTTTTGTTAACTTTTGTATACTAGATGTACCAGAAGTCTGTGGGCTTCTACTCTATTAAAAGGATTTTGGGTTACATTCTTTACCTGTAGAGTGAATTAGAATGACCTAAAAACTATGTGTCTATGAAATAAAATCACCCTAAAGAGCTATAAGTTTTAACATTTGATTTCTCAAACTTTTAAGGTGTCACCTAACAAAGCTGAAACAAAAAAAGATCTTGAAGACACGGTAGGTAGTTTGAAGTGTGTTTGTGTTTGGGTTCATGTATAGAATTGGATTTGAATTGCTATCTGCTTCTTTGTTTCTTGAATTTTTGTGTGTGGATATGCTTATGCACATATGTACATTTTTAGCAATTTAATAGCACTGTTAGATTGTCTTTAAATGTTTCATTTATGTTAATGGCATTTTAATAAAAATTTTAGTGGGAAGCTTGAAATATATGCCAATTCTGACTAAATAATGTCACAACAATCCATTTCTTATATAGAAGAAGAGCAGAGTACTAATAATTATCTATCATCTTGGTCTCTTTAGCTGTATGTAGAGAGACCCAGGGAATATAGTCAAAATTAGCTCATGGAAATGAGGAAGAGGTGAGACTCAATTTATAGTGGAAGTAAAGGCTGCTATATTTTTTGTCTTTAAAAAATATGTTCCTTGTTTTTCATGTCGTTTGAAAAAAAATAAATCTCACTGCAAAGGCACTTATTTGATGAAATGAAGTAGTCACCAGTGGGCACGCCCAAGGAGTTAGGATGCCCTAGAGACCCTGGATTTTTTCACTATCATCCTGAAATTCAGCCAATTCCCCTCAAACTAAACTTGTTTGGAATGACTACTTTCTACAGATGTTTTCCCTTCACACTTGACAAAATTGATAATCTCTAGTGGATCACGTGGCTTAAAGTCCATGGGGCTCCTAAGGAAAGTTTAGCTTGGTGACAGCTAAGTGTCTTTCATCCTCCTTTTAATAACTGAGAGTGTTTTGAAATACACCAGGACCAAATGAATGGCTTGGCCAGCCGGATACATCTGCTGCCAGTATTTGACGGGGCTAAGTTATGAAAAGGATCCTAGAATTTGTCATAGACCTGTGTTTGAGCTCTGGTCCTTCAACCCAATTGCTATGTCATTCTAACCTGTCTGAACCCAAATCTCCACACTTATAAAATGGGGACAGTAAAAAAAGTTGGTAAACCATGGAGCTCTGTTCAAATGTCGGTGATCCCTATTCCCATAACCACTGTAAGGCAGACAGCACTGTGATTACATTTGTCTGGTATTGACTCGTTGCTTTATGCTTTTAGTGAAAAAATAGAGCACAGCCGGTGTGGCTCAGTGGTTGAGTGTCGACCTGTAGACCAGGAGGTCATGGTTCAATTCCCGGTCAGGGCACATGCCCAGGTTGCAGGCTCAATCCCCAGTGTGGGACGTGCAGGAGGCAGCCGATCAATGATTTTTCTCTCATCATTGATGTTTCTATCTCTCTTCCTTCTCCCTTCCTCTCTGAAATCAATAAAAACATACTTTAAAAAAAATTAAAAGAAAAAATAGACATCTGATTCATGTACATGTGTTTTCCTGTGGAATTATTCATTTGCTATAAGGCAGCCAGTGTCAAGTTCAATGAATATTTTGGGTCCAAAGTTTCTCTTTTGGGTCTGTGTTTTGTATTGTTTGAGGACGCATAGCACAATAGGCTGTAAATAGTGGGGTATGTGGGTGTGTTTTGTGGCTTAAGTGCCTGATGCTCTCACTCCTTTCAGCTGCTCAGACACCAGACTAGTCCTCCACCCAGAATGTGGTCCCAACTGAATGGGCCTGGCTGATAAAATCTCACTGTCCAGCCCTGACAGCTGTGGGGTCCCTGCTGGTGGAGCCCGGTTTCAAAGGAGGGTTTTGTGAATGTAGGTTGTCCTTGACACCCACAGACCTCTTTCTACAGCCCTGGTTCTCATACCTGGTCTTTTGACATGTTTTCTACTGCAGTTCTTGGAATCATACTTTTGGAATGTCTGTGCCATTTGGCCATCCTTCCATTTGGGGAATTTTTAGCACACTGCACACCCCACACAAAATCGCCCCCCATTTGTAACTTGAGTCAACAATTCTGAGTGGTTGTGGCTGGGCTACTTCAGTTCCAACCTCTCCCCACTTTGGCTCAGTGAACTGGCTCAGACTAGAAACTTCTTTGGCCTGGGAGATCTGCCCATCTAGAAGTCAGCTAACATTTTTGTGCGTGATACTGCTACCCTGAAGTCCCTAGCACTGAATTAAAGGAGGTTCGTTTGGGAATGAAAGTCACTTGATTCTAGGACGCAAAAATCTATCATTTGTTGTCTTCAAATATTTGTTTTCTTTCCCATGTGGCAGTACCACTTAGATCAGCGGTTCTCAACCCCTTTGGCGGTTGAACGACCCTTTCACAGGGGTCGCCTAAGACCATTCTGCATATCAGATATTTACATTACGATTCATAACAGTAGCAACATTACAGTTATGAAGTAGCAACGAAAATAATTTTATGGTCGGGTCACAACATGAGGAACTGTATTTAAAGGGCCAGAAGGTTGAGAACCACTGACTTAGATATTTAAAACTGTCAAGTAGAGACTGTGTTACCTTTTTAACTTGGTAGATTTTTCATCTGGGTATTTTATGTCCTATAGACAGAGATGAAATGTTCTGTCATTGTCTTTAGCAAATAAAGTTGTGGTCATCTGGGTCATTGAACTAGGTTGCCCTGTTGAAAACCCATGTGTGCCTGCCATGGACTGTGCTCTTTAGCAAATCACCTTTGAGAGTTTCAAAGAGAGAAACAGTCACGTGACGTCTTGTGGTTGGGGGATGCAGGTGATATGCTGCGAATTGTCCAAGTGTTTGAATGTACTTAAAAACAATGGGGGGAATGGATTTTGTTTAAAAACAAAGTGCTAAGCTGTGACTGCTGTTGCCCAAAAGGCGTGCAAAGCAGAAAGTGTCTGTGATGGGCAAGCTGGGCAGAAGACACCCGAGATCCCGGCGAAAGGCACCAAGAAAAAGCACCTGGACAGCCCCAGGCTAGGACTCGCCTTTAGACGGTTCTTTAGGCATAAGGTCTGTATTTGTTGAACTAGTAGGGGAACAAAGAACCCTGGTCTTCACCACGCAATGCACATGCCATTCCGTATCCACCCAGCTCCGCTTCAGGGAAGAGAGAGCCTTGGGTGGTTGGGACTATTAAAGGAGGATTCAAGATTCTGTGAATCAAATTTCAGTAATTTTTTTAAAGTCTCCATATTTATAAACATCTCACACTGGTTTCTTCCTAGTGTGGACCAGGGTTCTGAAACTAGTCTTCTAACCCAGTGTTTCCCAAATGTTGAAAGTATGTGTGCCACCATCATCACTTTTGTCATATACACTATTACTTACTTGATATTTTTATATTGAAGTCAACCCATTTCCTATGGAAAGGTATCTTTAAAAGAAACTTTATATTACATTTTACATAGGAAATCAGAATCCTCATAAGAGGAAGGTAACTGTTAATATGGCTAATAAAAAAAGAGCTTACATTCTAGTTACCTTGTTTGTGTTAAGTCCAAATCCAATGCCCTCTGGAGCTTTACTGAAAGGCAGTTAGCCACCAGCAGACCAAGAATTTCTCCCAAATCTTCTTGGAATAATTCAATGAGAGTTGAAAAAGGAAAAGTATTTTCACTATTTGGGTTTCATTTCATGTCATATCTCTGTGCAACGTAAAATCCTCTCTGATACCATCAATGGTATGCTTTCTACACTTTGGGAAATACTCTTCTAACTTAAAGATAACAATTTTATCTTTCTGTGACCTGCTCCATCCATTGCCTGTATTAACTGAGCTTATACTGAACCCACATGAAAACCCAGGCAGAACAAAACAATGAATGGGCAGAACAAGTTCTATCTCCATGTCCTTAGGAGTCCTTGGGAGACTTCACTCTTCTCGTGGCTAAGAAGATGCCAGTGTTGGTCTGAAACCATCAGTTAAAAGCACCCTTGAATTGGGCCAGCAGGCTTGGGAATGTGTCTAAAATATCAACCATTCTGCACTAAGTTGAATGATCTTATTAAAAAATGTCCCCAGCTGGATGTCATAGTCCCAGGATTGTGTATGCAAATAAAAGCTCCATAGAAATTCTCATGGGTGAATCTATATTTGCATAAACGTGTTAGGAAGCCACCCTTCAATTTCCATACAGGCTTTTTTTGTTCTGTAAAGAGAGAAAGGGGTGATAGAAATTGCGATGGAAGGGGGAACGTTAAAAAGCAGTGGTACTGTGTGTGGGAGCCCGTTTGGTAACAGCTAGTGAAACGCCATAGGCCTCATACAGGGGATCCAGCTGAGCTCCTCTGGAGCCCTGATGAGTAGGGGCCTTGGGAGTGTGAGATGAGTACTCAGCCCCAGCCCTGCATTTCACAATGACATTCATCTCACACCCAGAATCCCTCCCCTTTCCCTGGACCCCCAAGTTCAACCTTTCTAGGACTTCCCCAAATCACTGGCCTCCCCTCCTGCCCCTGAGGTGCATATTGGGTAGGATGGGATTGGAAAGGACTGGAAGGTGCAGAGGCAGTCCCTTTCTGGGATGCTGTAATTCACATGCAAGGACTTTGGGGTTTTGCCTCGAGTCACACTCAGTCTCTTTTCGTGTAAAAGTGGAGTAAGGGGATTCCCAAATGTTCTTAATTCTCGTATGCAGCAGTTTGGTAGCTCTCCCTGGCTCTTATCTCCAGACCTAGGACTTGTTTATTTTCTTTACTTGATTATCCTGTTGTGCAAAAAGATAGGAAAATAGGGCCATTGAAACTGACCCGGCAAATTCTATCAATAACCCTTGTGGCATGATTACAGGAGGTGTGATTAAAATCAATCTTCTTGATTTTATTATAACCTAGAAGAGAAAAGAAGAAATCCAAGCCCTAGCTGGTTTGGCTCAGTGGATAGAGCATCGTCCCAAGAATGGAAAGGTCTCGGGTTTGGGTGTGATTCTGGTCAAGGGCATGTACCTCTGTTGCACGCTCCATCCCTGGCCTGGTCGGGGCACGTGCAGGAGGCAACCAATTGATGTGTCTCTCTCACATCAATGTTTCTCTCTGTGTGTCTCTCCTCCTCACTTCCACTCTCTCTAAAAACCAATGGAAAAGTATCCTGGGGTGAAGATTAACAAAACAAAATAAAAGCAATTCAAGGATGAAATACTTTCTTCTAGTTTTGCTCTAAATGGTTACCAATTCTGGTTAATGCCTAGGTTTGTTTCTCTAAGTCTCAATTTTCTTCCTATAAAAAGAATTCTTTAGTCTAAAAAAGTGGAGAAGCCTGGAATTAATAAATGGAATAACATTCTTGCTATAAAGAATAAAAGTGTCAGCTCTCCTTGGCTGAATCTGAATCCACAATGCCTCAGATTGGAACCTTCTCATGAGTCCCCAAACACTGGGCCTGACCACAGGCTCAGTGGCGGGGTGTTGTTTTAGTGCTTTGGCCACGCCCAGAAGTGCCCGGTCCCCACTCAGGTTTTCCCGAGGGGCAGTCATCAATCCTGCTAGCGCCCTTACGGTTGCTTAACGACCCCACCCACGCTGTTTGGACGGTAAATCGGTGCTTGCTACTTACCCTGAGGTGCTGTGGTATCTGTCCAGCTCGTGGCTGCCCCGTCATTGTGCTCAGCCCATTCAGCCAAAGCCGCATGAGGGTTCCACACACACACCTGAAGCCCCCAGATTCTGAAGTTCTAGAATTTCTCCTTCTTAAAAGAAGCACAGAAAACACAGCGTGTGGCTTCAAACAGTCAAATTGATGTCCTTTGCAAACACCCTTTGGAGAGGCGATGTGCTGTGTGGAAAGAAAGCCAAAGTTCAGAGCTGAGGCCAGGCTGTGGCCCCTAATTAATGTGGAGCAGATCATGGGCCTCAGTTTCCCCATCCCTGAAAATTCGGGCATTGGCCCAGAGGGTCTCTAAGAGTCTGTCCAACATCAAAAGTACCATGAAGCTTCCTGAATTTCCACATCGCAGTTTTACTGCCGGGTTTTTTTTTTTTTCTTTTAGTCAGAGATCTCACATCCCTAGAATTGAAAGGGCTTGTGTCACTAACTCCTGGAGCACAAATCATAAAATGAAGATGCTTAAAAGAGGTCAGGTCAGATGGACTGAGTGTTAAAATTGGTTATGCTGGCCAGACCCATGTGGCTCAGTGGCTGAGTGTCAACCTATGAACCGGGAGGTCGTGGTTCAATACCCGGTCAGAACACATGCCTGGGCTCAATCCTCAGTGGATCAGTAAAAATATTTTTAAGAGAAAATAATTTCTAATGCCGGTGTTCACTCATGTTTAGATCAATTGAGACTCTCTTCCTCTAACTCTCCTTTTACCCCATGACTCAGGAGGAGGCAGAGCATGGGAGGTCATGGCCCTGTCCCTGAGGAAGTCAGACATCCTGGAATTGGACCTCAGCGTGGCCACCCAGAGTGGGAACAAGAAGAGAGAGAATGGGGAAGGAGGACAGGAAGAGAAAGAGAGAGGAGGGGGAGAGAGGAAAAGAGAGAAGGAAGGAAGGAAGGAAGGAAGGAAGGAAGGAAGGAAGGAAGGAAGGAAGCCAGATGGGGTGGTTCTGAACTACAGTCTGGGGTCCATCCAAAGGGAGTACCACCTCCCATGCTCCCCTTGATTGAGCTCAAGGAGAATCTAGAAACTTCTATCAATTTTTCAAGATATGCCAAAAATATGGATTTTATCTTGGAAATTTCCAGGTTATTTTGTGCCCTGGCCAGATAGCTCAAGTGGTTAGAGCATCGTCCTGATACACCAATGTTTCGGGTTTGATTCCTGGCCAGGACACATATGAGAATAAACCAATGAATGCATAAATAAGTGGAACAACAAATTGGTGTTTCTCTCTCTTCCTAAATATCAATAAATAAACAAAATTTTAAATAACCTTTTGTTATTGCAAGTGAATATATGTGCATTTTGTAGAAAGTTAGAAAATAGAGCTAACCAAGAATGAAAAAAAATAGCCTCAGAGTCAATTACAATCTATTCAATTACTTCTAATTTAGATATAGAGGCTCCATCTAAAGGTGAAGAAATGGGGTTTGTGGGGGCTCTCCTCACTCAAGAGCCTTTCACTCAGTCTAGCTGTCTCATACGTACTCGTAGCCTGGGTCAGCGATCGCCACAGTGGAATGTGGGAGAAAAATCGAAAACTTCCATTTTACATTATATTTATTTTAACCCTGCTGTAATTTTGAACTGGGGTTAGTAAAACAATGCATCTCTATAAGATAAGCAGACATGCGTGTTGGAGGTGAGTGTTCAAAATGTTTGTACTGATAGGAACATAATCAACATCACCTGAAGACCAATGGCCTGGGTGCGCATTAACCTTCTAACAGCGAAGTGCCTCTTACAATCAGCTGGGTTCCTAATGAGCTACTTACATAAACACGATCAATAACGGTTCCGTAGGTATTTTTGTCCAAAAGGAAAGTCTCCTGACTTTTTCCAAGATTTTAACACAAACCCACATTCAGAGTAGCATATTTGGAAAAGTATGAAGAAAATCAACATGCACAACCCCAGCCCATGTTTATAAAAAGAGAGATCTTTCACTTTTGAGATCTGGAGATCATTTTCAATTTTGCTTGAAAACTCTATAGGGTGCTGAAAAGTCACCTGCTACGTCAGCAGACCTGAAGTCGGACAAAGCCACCTTTGTACCCCAGGAGACCCAAGGGGCAGCCAAGAATCCTACACCCACAGAAACAGCAAAGGAGGGTGCCAAGCAGAAGGGGGGGCCCTCCCCTCTGCCTCTGGGCAAACTGTTCTGGAAAAAGGTAAGTGCTGGTCTCAAGATGTGGAGAGGGCGCGGGGCCGGGATGACTTGAGAAGTTATTTCCGTTGGGCCAATCAATGAACTCAGCAACATGTGGTGTTGCTTTCTCTTCTGCAAAATGACTCAAGTAGCCATTGAGTGGAAGGCTTGCTCACTGACTCAGAATGACGTGCCTCGCGTAGTATAAACATGTGTTTCGTGGGAAAGGAAGGGAAAGGAACAAGGAGAATACTTCATTCTTGGAATTACTCCGGTTCATGACTGCGGGTTGTGGTATTTCATGACTTCATTGTCTTTTGAAAATCACTTATTACTTGACCTCCCCCTCCCACCCCTGGCTTCCTCTGAGCGCACTGTCCCTGGCGAGATGAGCCCCCCTGGGCTCTGTTTGCCCCTCCAGATATAAGCAGTCACTAGAAGCACCAGGTTTCACGGTCCTTTGGAAAAGCCAAGGTGTCCACCGGCTTCCCACAGGGCAAGCACACAGCGTGCTCTGTGGTGGGAAAATGTAAACCATGGTCTGATCTGTTCCTCTCTAGAACGGAGGAGCCGTGCGAGGGAATGGTTTGGGTGGGGCTGAGTCATTCTGAGAGCTATTGCTTGGTCATCACAGCTGCCACACATGTTCCCAAGTCTTGCGTGTTTTCAATGTGGCCAAACGATGAGCAAGACGTGGTGGGTGAGGCGGGCGGTGGGTGTGATCCGTAGAGCTGGGAAAATCCAATTTAATAATTTCATCAAAACCCATGCCACTTGCACACACGGCCAGGCAGGGGATGATACAGGCGCCGCTGTGGAGTTAGTTTATTCTCTCGTCTGGAATCCTGGATTCCTAGCTGGATTTCTGAATGTCCTCCCTGTGAGTTTTCCTGTTGTGAGGAATTCTTCCTTCCAGGTTCTGCCCAGAAACAAACTTCAACACCAAGTGAAAACTTTGGGTGATGTCATTTGGTGTTCAGTTCAAACCCTCTTCCCTCACCAACCACCGATGACTTATTTTTAAAAATCTTTTATCAGCAATATAATGTAGGGGACAGTTTCTAGTGAGTGACATCCACATAGGGGCGGCAGGGCACCTGAGTTTGGTGGCCCATAGTCAAACAGGTTTACTTTTATCCTATCTAATAATAGACAAACATGGTAATTGACCGTACTTTCGCTATGCCTCCCATTGGCTAATCAGCGTGATATGCAAATTAACCACCAACAAAGATGGCGGCTAATTTGCATACTGCAGGCAGGGCGGGACAGCGCCATCCCACCTGGCCTGCCCCTATCCGGGCCTGCTATCTGCGACCCAACCCTGGGCGGCCGGGCAAGGCAGCAAAGGTTTGAAGGCGGCTCCAGCCCGAGCAGTGAAGGCTTGAAGGCGGCTCTGGCCGGAGCGAAGGCCTGGGTCCCGGGTGCCAGAGGAAAACCAGTGCCAGCAGCCAGGGGAAGGGAAGGCCTATTGCACGAATCTTTTCATGCAACAGGCCTCTAGTTTAAATATATATAAATTTAAAGTGTATTAGGAAAAACAGAACTGGCACATTGAACTTGGTTTAACGTATATTTTGTTCAAGGTAAGAGATAGGTTTCAAAAGCAGCCCAATTGCAAGGCAAGTGCAGCATAAGTCATGGTACTGACAGTAAGTAAAGGTAAAGTGGGTCCTCCAGGAAGCAGACCCTGAGACCGAATCCATGTGTAAGAGGAGAATGAGTGTGAAGGGTAACGGGAGTGGCAGGAGGAGGCACAGAGCCTGCCCACCAATCAGAGCCGGACACCCGTGACCTGTGGCTGAGGGAGGGAATAGAGGGGGAGAAGGTCCCTCAGCCTGAGGGTGGGCCAAGCCAGAGGGGATTCCCAGCACAGACACCAGGCATTCTGGGGCCACGCATTGGGCAGAAATGGCCCAGCACCCCCAGGGCTCAGTCATGGGCTGGGAGCAGCCGGGGAGAGCTGGCCTGGGCATCGAGGATGCTGAAGGCGCCACCCGATGGCTCATACAACAAGGCAAAAACCTCACAGGAGGCCGGCAAGTATCAGATGTTGGAGGATCCCTTACATAAGGGTTAAAAGTCTGTTGTCAGACAGATCTGACTTTGAGTCCCCGTCTGCTTGGATGAGCCTCAGTTTCCTAAGCTATAAAATGCAAATAAAAAGAGCACCCATGTCATGAAAAGGAAGCCAGGGTTCGGTGAAATAATTCTGGTAAAACCCTAACACGTGCCCAGCGCAGAAGTGGCCGGTGGGCGCTGTCCCCAGGTCATTGATTTCCTGGCCTCCGCTCGGGAGGGTTGGGCACTACCCACATCCACTTCTCATCCTTCTGGGCCGCCCGGTTTGGGGGCGCCTCTAAGCCAACAAGCCTCCGTGCTTCGTCTTTTATTCCCTTAGGGATCTATCGGAGGTGTGCTTTGAAATTCAAGCTTCTCCCATGGAGATAAAAGGCGGGTACTGGACATTTATCTCCCTAATAACAGAATTTCATTTATTTCCGTTCCACTCTTTTTTTCCAACATTATCCGGTTTTACTTCTTTAGTCGATTATAAAAATTACTAAAAGCTGAATCCCCTGTAAATCTTGTTTTTCCTTCTTTCACTGGGTCAGAAAGAACAGCGCCCTCTGGAGGTAAAATGGAACGATTCACTCCCGTGACAGTATTTTTAATCGGTTTCTTTCATCAGTGCTGACTTTTTTTGTGCTAAATACTTTGTGTCAAGTAATCAGCATTGAAAAGACAGCAGTGCCTTTATTGTGTTCGTTAGATTCTACTTATAAGTGAAATCATATGGGTCTTGTCTTTCTCTAAAAAAACAAAATAGAAACAGACTCATAGCTTTGGAGAACAGACATGCAGCTGTCAGAGGGGAGGGGGAGGGGCTGGGTGAAAAAGGTGACGGGATTAAGAAAAGACAAAACAAAAGCCTCATAGTCAGACAACCTTATGGGATTGCCAGAGGGAAAGGGGGGTGGGGGAGGCAGAAGAGGGTAAAGGGAGGGTAAGTGGTGGTGGGAGTTGGTAGTGAACACACAGTACAGTATACTGAGGACATGTTGTAGAATTGCACCCCTGAAACCTAATTTTATTAACCAGTGTCACCCCAATAAATTCAATCAATCGATCAATCAATAAGAAAAGACAGCAGTGGGGAGATTGCTGACCTCTTGCAGTTTACAGTCTCATGGGAACTTCTCTTCTAATTGGAAATAAAATTGAGACCTCTGTTTTCTTTAAATTAAAATAAGTTTAGCATAATACTCTCCAGGTCCCTCCATGCCATCTCAAAGGGTAAGAGATCCTTCTCTTTTACTGCTGATAGGACTCTAAGAGAAATAAGCCAGTCAGAGAAAGACAAGTATCACATGGTCTCATTCATATGTGGAATCTAATGAACAAAATAAACTGATGAACAAAATAGATTCAGAGACATAGGAGCATAGAACAGACTGTCAAATCTCAGAAGGAAGGTGAGGGTAGTGGGTGGGTGCAGAGAGATTAACCAAGGAACTCATATGCATATATGCATAACCCATGGACACAGACAATAGGGTGGTGAAGGCCTGGGGTGAGAGGGCGGGACAGCTAGAAGGGGTCAGTTGGGGAAAAGGGGGATGTATGTAATACTTTAAACAATAAAGATAAAAAATAAATAAAGTAATTAATTAATTAAAATGTTTTAGTTATAAAATCGTTCTTGTAAAAATTCTGTAAAATGCTGACAAGCACTAGAAAATTCTGGTGTTTCCAGCCACAAACCCGCCGTGCAAGCTGCTCCAGACATGGGCTCTGAGCAGGTGTCTCTGACATGTGACCAACACGGAAGGGGCAGGAGCCCGGCCGCTCATTTACCCAGTTATCCCAACTGGATATGTCAGCCCCTGCTGGCCTAACGGCGACACGCACGGCCAGTGTGCAAATGTACAGAAATGTGCAAAAGGGGTTTGCGCAGCTCTTGGACGCTGCCTTAGAAGGTAACAAATAACCTCCTTTTCCCAACCCCTGCTCCTCGGTGACACTGAGAAGAAAGTCTCCCCTTGCTATTGGCAGGCACCTCTCTCTGTGCCACACGTGCCCATCTCCCTTTCAACAGGACTTTAAATAACCAGAACTTAATGAGCATTTGTGAAACGTCAGAAAGACCTGGAAGTCTGAGATCTGACAACAATCACAGAAGCATCATGTCCCATAGCAGCTCCTGCTTCTCACCATCACCTCCACCAGGTTCCCAGTCCCATCTCGAACACCGTGAGCGACAACAGCCAGGACTCCCAAGGCACAGAAACCAGACACAAGCTAAGCTCATCCCAGCCAGCTGGGCGGCAAAGAGGCTTGAAGAACTGAAAACTGCTCTTTGGAAATGGCAGGAGGACTGTCTCCGCCTAAAGCGGGCAGTATATTGCCTCTTGGAACTTTGGCAGGTCAGGTTTGAGGCGGTCTGGCTTTCAAAATATTGTTTAGAGAGAGACCAAGATGGCGGCATAGGTAAACACCGGAGACTGCTGCCGCAAACAACCACTTCAAAAATACAACTAAAAGACGGAACGGACATCACCCAGAACCACAGGAAGGCTGGCTGAGGAGAGACTCTTCAACTAGAAGGAAAAATAACAGCACACCGAGGCTCAGAGGAGGCGCAGTGTGGAAAAAACTCAGGTGCGGAGGTGCGCGCGCAAAGCGGGCTGGTGGCTGAGAGCGCGGTTGTCGTTTTCGGTCAGGGGGGAGTCTCAGACTCTGAGCTCCAGATACGGGCGAATCGCTGGGGACTCGGACCCAAACGGGAGAAGCGGGAGTGTCTGGCATCAGTTGGAAGGCAGCTTTCCCTCCGAGGTTTGCAGCGGTTCCGGGGGTTCTGAGAAGCAGAGCCTCTGGGAACGGGACTGAGGGCACCATAACCGCTCCCTCCGCCCGCCCGCCCTGTTGAGCCCGCCCCGCCCAAGCCCTGCGCAGAGCCATTTGCCGGATCGCCGCAGGCAAAGGCTAGATTAGCGCCCCCCCAGAGGACAGAAGTTTTCCGCGGCAGACACAGCTGATTCACACAGCCAGTCGGCCTGGTGGTCAAATCCC